TAGGGGCACTTGTACCCCAATGTTTATAGCAGCACTCTCAACAATAGCCAAATTGTGGAAAGAGCCTTAATGTCCATCAACTAATGAATGGATAAAGAAATTGTGGTTTATATACACAATGGAGTACTACGTGGCAATGAGAAAGAATGAAATATGGCTCTTTGTAGCAACATGGATGGAACTGGAGAGTGTGATGCTAAGTGAAATAAGCTATACAGAGAAAGACAGATACCATATGGTTTCACTCTTATGTGACTCCTGAGAAACTTAACAGAAACCCATGAGGGAGGGGAAGAAAAAAAAGAGGTTAGAGTGGGAGAGAGCCAAAGCATACGACACTCTTAAAAACTGAGAACAAACTGAGGGTTGATGGGGTGTGGGAGGGAAGGGAGAGTGGGTGATGGGTATTGAGGAGGGCACCTTTTGGGATGAGCACTGGGTGTTGTTTGGAAACCAATTTGACAATAAACTTCATGTATTGAAAACAGAAGAGACAAAACAGATGAACATAATGGAAGGGAAACAAAAATAATATAAAAACAGGGAGGGTACAAAACAGAAGCACACACAAATATGGAGAATAAATAGAGGGTTACTGGAGGGTTTGTGGGAGGGGGGATGGGCTAAATGGGTAAGGGACACAAAGGAATCTGCTCATGAAATAATTATTGCAGTATATGGTAACTGATTTGAATGTAAATTGTAAATAATAAAAACTAAAATTAAAAAAAAAGGATGAATGGCTGAACCAAGAAGTTAAAGAGAAAATTAAAAAGTACATGGAAGCCAATGAAATTGATACCACCACAGCCCAAAACCTCTGGGATGCAGCAAAGGTAGTCACAAGAAGAAGTTTATAGCAATCCAGGCCTTCCTAAAGAGGGAAGAAATGTCTCAGATACACAACCTAACCTTATACCTTAAAGAGATGGAAAAAATATCATCATCAATAAATACCAAATCCAGCAGGAGACAAGAAATGATAAAGATTATAGCAAAAATCAATGCTATCGAAACTGAAAACAAAAATAAAAACAAACAACGATAACCCCCCCACACACACACACACCAAAACAGTGGAAGAGATCAATGTAACCAGAAGCTGGTTATTTGAAATAGTTAATAAAATTGTTAAACCACCAGCCAGTTGGATCAAAAAGAATAAGGAAAGGACCCAAATAAATAAAATCAAGAATGAACGAGGAGAGATCACAACCAACAAAGCAGAAATACAAACAATAATAAGAGAATATTATAAGCAATTATATACCAATAAAATGGGCAATCTGGAAAAAATGGAAAAATTCCTAGAAATATATAAACTATGAAAACTGAATGAGGAAGAAATAGAAAATTTGAACAGACCCATAACCAGTAAAGAATTGAATTAATAATCAAAAATCTCCCAAAAAACAAGAGCCCAGGGCCAGATGGCTCTCCAGGGGAATTATACCAAACATTTAAGGAAGAGTTAACACCTATTCTCTTGAAGCTGTCCCAAAAATAGAAATGGAAGGAAAACTTCCAAAGTCTTCTTATGAATCAGAATTACCTGGATTCCAAAACCAGACAAATATCCACTAAGAAAGAGATGTATAGACAAATTTTCATGATGAACATGGATGCAAAACTCTTCCACAAGATATTAGCCAACCAGATCCAACAATACGTTTAAACTTTATTCACCACGACCAAGAGGGACTTATACCTGGAATGCAAGGCTGGATCCATATCCACAAAATAATCAATGGGATTAATCACATCAATAAAAGAAAGGACAAGAACCACATGATGCACTCAATAGATGCATCGAAAGCATTTGACAAAATACAGCATCCTTTCCTGATAAAAGGATTCCAACAAAAAAAAACTACTAGAAATGATCCATGAATTCAGCAAAGTGGCAGGATATAAAATCAATGCACAGAAATTAGTTGCATTCTTGTACACAAACAATGAAGCAGCAGAAAGAGAAATCAGGGAATCGATACCATTTTCAATTGCACCAAAACCCATAAAATACCTAGGAATAAATCTAACCAAAGAGGTGAAAAATCTATACACTTAAATCTATGGAAAGATTATGAAAGAAATTGAAGATGACAAACACACAAAAACGAAAAACATTCCATGCTCCTGGATAGGAAGAACAAATATTGTTAAAATGTCAATAGTACCCAAAGCAATCTACATATTCAATGCAATACCTATCGAAATAACACCAACATTCTTCACAGAGCTACAACAAACAATCATCCAATTTGTATGGAACCAGAAAGACCCTGAATAGCCAAAGCAATCTTGAACAAGAAAACCTAAGTAGGAGGTATCACAATCCTGAACTTTAAGCTGTATTACAAAGCTGTAATCATCAAGACAGTACGGTACTGGCATAAGAACAGACACTCAGATCAATGACAGAGAATAGGAACACAGAATTGGACCCACAGATGTATGGCCAACTAATCTTTGACAAAAAGAAAGAATATCCAATGTAATAAAGACAGTCTCCTCAGCAAGTGAGCTGGGAAAACTGGACAGTGATATGCAGAAAAATGATCCTGGACCACTTTCTCACAAAAAAAGCACTCAAAACGGATGAAAAACCTAAATGTAAGATAGGAAGCCATCAAAATCCTCAAGGAGAAAGCAGGCAAAAACCTCTTAATGTTGGCCTCCACAACTTCTTACACAACATGTCTCCAGAGGCAAGGGAAACAAAAGCAAAAATGAACTATTAGGACCTCATCAAAATAAAAAGTCTTCTGCACAGAGAAGGAAACAATCAGCAAAACTAAAGGGCAACAAACAGATTGGGAGAAGATATTTGCAAAAGACATATGAGATAAAGGATTAGTATTCAAAATCTATAAAGAACATATCGAACTCAACACCCAAAAAACAAGTAATCCAGTGAAGAAATGGGCAAAAACATGAGCAACCACTCCTCCAAGGAAGACATCCAGATGACCAACCGACACATGAAAAACTGCTCAACATCACTCATCATTAGGGAAATACAAATCAAAACCACAATGAAACAGCCCCTCACTCCTGTGAGAATGGCTAACGTTAACAACTCAGGCAACAACAGATGTTGTCGAGGAAATGGAGAAAGAGGAACTCTTGCAGTGCTGGTGGGAATGCAAACTGGTGCAGCCACTCTGGAAAACAGTATGTAGGTTCCTCAAAAAATGAAAAAGAGGACTATCCTACAACCCAGCATATGCACTACTAGGTATTAATCCAAGGGAAACAGATATGCTCTTTCGAAGGGACACGTGAACCCCAAAGTTTATACCAATACTACCAACAATAGCTAAAGTATAGAAAAAGCCCAAATATCCATCGATGGATGAATGGATAAAGATGTGGTACATACACATACATACATATATATACATATATACATACATATATACATAGTATATATATGTAGTATATATACATATATGTACGTATATAGTACATATGTATATGTATATATGTGTATGTATATATGTATATATAAATAAATATATATATATATACATATATGTATATATACATACACAATGGAGTATTAGCCATTAAAAGAATAAAATCTTGCCATTAGAAACTATGTGATTGGAGAGTCTCCTGGGACCTAACCGTCACCATAACCCTAACCATAATTCTCACCCTACACCTAACCTTATCTACCACACTAACTCTAAACCAGATCCACAGCTGCGCATGTGCCCTACTTCAGCCTTACATGGAATTCACAACACTGGTGTCGCTTTGGCCTTGGCGACTTCCCTGTACAGAACCCTGATCCTAGCTAAGTGTCTATGCCCAGGGGGACTCAATTCCAAAGTAACCCAACCATAAACCTCAACCTACACCTAACCCTATCTCTAACCTGAACACTACACTTGACCTGCACCCTCACATGGGCACTCAATTCAGCCCTCCAGTGAGATTATGAGACTGGAGTCTCTACGGCCATAGTGACATCTCTGAAAGGAACCCTAACCCTAGCTAAGGCTCTGTCCCCATTGGGACCCAATTCCAAAGTCTGACAACAGCTCACACACAGGTTCAGGAATTGGTGCAGAAATAGTTGGCATGGAACGTGGAACATCACCATGTCATTTCCAAAGTGCGACTGCAACTGCACGAGAGGATTCTTTAGGCCTACCAAAGGGTGGTCCATACATTTGTTTGGCCTTGGAACCCAACTACTAAGACTGACGGGCACCCTCCCTTGTGTACTACACTCACCTCTTTGGGTTAACAACTGCTCTGTTTGGAGTCAGTGCCTGGAGACTAGTGGGACCTAACCCTAATCCTAACAGTAACCCTAATCATAAACATCACCCTACACTGAAACCGATCTATCTCACTAAGTCTACACCAGACCGACAGCCAGGCATGTGTCCTCACTTCAGCCCTCCATGTAATTCACAAGACTGGTGTCGCTAAGGCCCTGGTGACGTCCATGGACCAAACCCTAACCCTAACTAAGTCTCTCTTCCCATGGGGAACCAAATCCAAAGTCTGACAACAGCATGCACAAAGGTACAAAAATAGGTACAGAATTACTTGGCATGGAAGGTGGATCATCACCATGTTATTTCCAAAGCGTGATTGCAGCTGCACGACAGGATTCCTGAGGCCTATTCAAAGGGTGGCCCATATGTCTCTCAGTGTTTGGAACCTAAGGACTGATACTGACTGGCACCCTCCCTTGTGTACTCCACTCAGCACTTTGGGGATACAACAATTGTGCTGTGGGGTCAGTGTCTGGAGCCTCCTGGGACCTAACCCTAATTGTAACCTAACCATAACCCTCACAATACAACTAACCCTATCTATCACACTAACTCTAAACCAGATCCATAGACGTGCATGTTCCTAATTTCAGCCCTCCATGGAGTTCACAACACTGGTGTTGCTTTGTCCATGGCGAAGTCCCAGGACTGAACCATAGCCCCAGATAAGGATCTATACCATGGGAACCCAAAGCCAAATTTGACAAGAGCACACACACTGGTTAGAGAATCGGTGCAGAGATACCCAGCATGGAACGTGGAACATCACCATGTCACTTCCAAAGCACAAGTGCAGTTGCACGAGAGGATTCCTGAGGCCTATGGGATGGGTGGCACATACATTTGTCTGGCCTTGGACCCAAAGACTAATCCTGACTGGCATCCTCCCTTGTGCACTCTACTCAGCCCTTTGTGGAGACAACTACACTCTTGTGCCTTCAGTGCCTGAAGCCTTCTGGGACCTAATCGTAACCCTAACCATACCACTAACCATAACCCTCACCCTACACCTAACACTATATCTAACCCAACCCTGCACATGACCCGCACCCTCTCATGGGCCCTCAATTCAGCCCTTGAGGAAGATCATGAAACTAGAGTTGCTTCGGCCCTGGTGACTTCCCTGGACCAAACCCTTACCCTAGCTAAGGCTCTCTCCCTGTGGGTACCCAATTCTAAATCTGACAACAGCACAGACACAGGTTTGAGAATCGGTGCAGAAATACTAGGCATGAAATGTTGAACATCACCATGTCATTTCCAAAGCACGACTGCACCTGCAAGAGAGGATTCCTGAGGTCTACCAGAAGGGCGTCCCATACATTAGTCTGGTCTTAGAACCCAAAGACTAATCCTGACAGGCACCCTACTGTGTATACTCCACTCAGCTCTTTGGGGAGACATCTGCTCTGCTGTGGGGTCAGTGTCTGGAGCCTTCTGGGTCTTAACCCTATTACTAACCATAACCCTAACAATAACCCTCACCCTATACCTAACCATATCTCTAACACAAACCCTACACTTGATCTGCCCCCTCACATGGGCCCTATATTCAGCCCTGAGGGAGATCACAAAACTGGATTCGCTTCACCTTGATGACTTCCCTGGCCCGAAACCTAATGCTAGCTAACGCTCTCTCCCCGTGGGGATGCAATTCCAAAGTCTGACAACCGCACACACTCGGGTTCGAGAATCAGTGCAGAAATACTTGGCATGCAATGTGGAACATCACCATGTTATTCCAAAGCACGACTGCAGCTGCATGAGAAAATTCCTGAGTCCTACACAAAGGGTGACACATACATCTGTCGGGCCTTGGAACTCAAAAGCAGATCCTGACCAGCAACCTCCTTGTGTACTCTACTCCGCCCTTCGGGTTAACAACTGTTCTGCTGTGGGATCAGTGCCTGGAGTCTCCAGGGACCTAACCCTAATCCTAACCTTAGTCCTAACCATAACCCTCACCCTACACCTAACCCTATCTATCACACTAACTCTACAGACGACTCAAAGCCATCTATGTTCCCTCACTTCAGCCCTCCATGGAATTCACAAAACTCGTGTCTCTTTGGCCCTGGAGACTTCCCTGGACCGAAACCTAACCCTAGATAAGGCTCTCTCCTGATGGGGACATAATTTCAAGGTCTGACAACAGCACACAAACGGGTTTGAGAATCGGTGCAGAAATACTCGCATGGAACGTGGAACACCACCATGTCATTTGCAAAGCTCGACTGTGGCTTCACGAGAGGATTCCTGAGGCCTACCCAAAGGGTAGCCCATACATTTGGCCTAAGAACCCAAAGACTAATCCTGACTGGCAAACTCCCTTGTGTACTCCACTCAGCCCTTCAAGAAGACAGCTGCTCTGCTGTGGGTTCAGTGCCTGGAGTCTCTTAGGACCTAACACAAACCCTAACCTTAGCCCCCTAACCATAACCCTCACCCTACAGCTAACCCTATCTAGAACACATCTCTACACCAGACCCCCAGCCACCCATGTGCCCTCACTTCACCATCCATAGATTTCACAACACTGGTGTTGCTTCATCCCTGGTGACCTTCCTGGACCAAACCCTAACCGTAGCTAAGGCTCTCTCCCCATGGGGACACAATTCCAAAGTCTGACAACAGCACGCACATGGATTCAAGAATCAGTACAGAAATACTCGGCATGGAACATGGAACACCACCATGTCATTGTAAAGCACGAATGCAGCTGCATGAGAGGATTCCTGAAGCCTACCCAAAGGGTGGCCCATATTTTGTCTGGCCTTGGACCCAAACTCTAAGCCTGACCAGCACACTCCCTTGTATACTCCACTCAGCCCTTTGGGGACATAACTGCTCTGCTGTGGGATCAGTGCCTGGAGCCTCCTGGGACCTAACCCTAACCCCAACTGAAACCCTAACCATAACCCTCACCCTACACTGAACCCTATCTAGCACACTTACTCTAAGCAGACCCACAGCCGTTCATGTGCCCTCACTTCAGCCCACCATGGAATTCACAAACTGGAGTCGCTTCAGCCCTGAGACTTCTTTGGACTGAACCCTAACCCTAGCTAAGGCTATCTCCTCGTGGGGACCCAATTCGAAAGTCTGACAACAGCACTCCACACGGGTTTGAGAATCGGTGCAGAAATACTTGGCATGGAACATGGAACACAATGATGTCATTTGCAAAGTCGGCTGCAGCTGCATGAGAGGATTCCTGAGGCCTACCCAAAGGATGGCCCATACATTTGTCTGGCCTTGGAACCCAAAGACTAATCCTAACTGGAACAATCCCTTGTGTACTCCACAAAGCCCTCCAGGGAGACAACTACTCTCCTGTGGGTTCAGTTCCCGGAGTCTCCTGGTACCTAATCCTAACCATCACCCAAACCATAACCCTCACCCAACACCTAACCCTATCTAGCACACTAACTCTACAGCCAACTCAAAGCCATCTATGTTCTCTCACTTCAGCCCTCCATGGAATTCACAACACTGGTGTCGCTTCATCCCTGGAGACTTCCCTGGACCGAACCCTAACCTAAGCTAAGGCTATCTCCCCATGGTGACCCAATTCCAAAGTCTGACAACAGCACGAAAATGGGTTCAAGAATCAGTGCAGAAATAATTGGCATGGATCGTGGGACATCACCATGGGATTAGCAAAGCACGACTGCAGCTGCACGATACGAATCTTGAGGCCTACCTGCAGGGTGGCCCATACATTTGTCTAGCCTTGGAACCCAAAGACTAATCCTGACCAGCATCCTCCCTTGTCTACTCCACTAAGCCCTTCAGGGAGACAACTACTCTGCTGTGGGTTCAGTTCCTGGAGTCTCCTGGTACCTAACCCTAACTGTCATCCGAACCATAACCCTCACCCTACACCTAACCCTATCTAGCACACTAACAGCACACTAACACTACAGCACACTCACAGCCATGAATATTCCCTCACTTCAGCCCTCAATGGAATTCACAACACTAGTGTCGATTCAGCCCTGGCGACTTCCCTGGACCAAACCCTAACCCTAGATAAGGCTCTTTCCCCATGGAGACCCAATTCCAAAGTCTGACAACAGCAAGTACATGGGTTCAAGAATCAGTGCAGAAATACTCGCCATGGAACGTGGAACACCATAATGTCATTTGCAAAGCGCAACTAGAGCTACACGAGAGGATTTCTGAGGCCTACCTGAAGAGTGGCCCATATATTTGTCTGGCCTAATAACCTAGAGACAAATCCAGACCGGCAACCTTCCTTGTGTAATCCACTCAGCCCTTTGGGGAGACAACCACACTGCTGTGGGTTCAGTGCCTGAAGTCTCCTGGGACCTACCCAAACCCTAACCATAACCCTCACCCTACACCAAACCCTATGTACCACACTAATTCTACACCAGACCTGCAGCTGCCCATGTACCCTAACTTCAGCCCTCCATGGAATTCACAACACTGGTGTCGCTTCATCCCTGGAGACTTCCCTGGACCGAACCCTAACCCTAGCTAAGGTTCTCTCCCCATGGGGACCCAATTCCAAAGTCTGACAACAGCATGAAAACGGGTTCAAGAATCGGTGCAGAAATAATTGGCATGGAATGTGGGACACCACCATGGCATTTGCAAAGCATGACTGCAGCTGCACGATACGAATCCTGAGGCTTACCTGCAGGGTGGCCCATACATTTGTCTAGCCTTGGAACCGAAAGACTAATCCTGACCGGCATCCTCCCTTGTCTACTACACTAAGCCCTTCAGGGAGACAACTGCTCTGCTGTAGGGTCCATGCCTGGAACCTGCTGGGACCTAACCCTAACCCTAACTGTAAACATAACTATAAAACTCATGCTACATCTAAACCTAACTCTAACCCTAATCCTATACTTGACCCGCACCCACGAAGGGGCACTCAATTCAGCCCTCAAGGAAGATCATGAAACTGGAGTCACTTCAGCCCTGGTGACTTCCTGGGCCGAGCCCTAACCCTAGCTAAGGCTCTCTCCCCATGGGGACCAATTCCAAAGTCTGACAAAAGCACGCACACAGGTTCGAGAATCAGTGCATACATACTCAGCATGGAATGGGAAACATAACCATATCATTTGAAAAGCACGACTGCAGCTCCACGAGAAAATTCCTGAGGCCTACAAGAAGGGTGGCCCGTACATTTTTCAGGCCTTGGAACCCAAAGACTAATCCTGACTGGCACCCTCCCTTGTAAACTCCACTGAGCCCTTTGGGGAGACATCTGCTATGGTGTGAGTTCAGAGCCTGGAGCCTCATGAGACCTAGCCAACCATAACCCTAACCAAAACCCTCAACCTACTCCTAACCCTGTCTCCCTACCCTAACCCTATACTTGACCTGCCACCTCACATGGGCCCTCAGATCAGCCTTCGAGGAAGATCACTCAACTGGAGTCCCTTCAGCCCTGGGACTTCCCTGGACTGAACCCTAACCCTAGCTAAGTGTCTATCTCCATGGGGACCCTATTCCAAAGTCTGAGAATAGCATGCACACATGTTCGAATGGAGCAGAAATACTCGACATGGAGCATGGAACACCACCATGTCATTTGCAAAGCGTTACTGCAGCTACACGAGAGGATTTCTGAGGCCTACACGAAGGGTGGCCCATACATTTGTCTGGCCTAGAAACCCAAAGACTAATCCTGACCAACCACCTACCTTGTGTAGTCCACTCAGCCTTTCAGTGAGA